TTGGTAAAGCTATCGGGCATCTCTCAGTTCCAGTGCAACTGTGTCACTGCAGTGGGTAAATGTAGCCTCTCTTTTGTGAGCCCAGAAACCAAAATGCTTAAGTGACTTGGCCAACTCAGCTGGGACTGAAACCCTTTTGGACTTAAAAGAACATCCTTCCTTGCTAAGTACAGACTGCTGGTTATGTTCCCTGTAGACCTGGCAGTGACTGTGGCCTTCATCTGCTGCCCTGTACTTGGTTCACTCATCCTGGAGGAGGCCTGACCCAAAAACCTTTCCACAGAGATGGCTGTACTGCACAAACCATGTCAGTTAGAAAAAGTTTCTTCATCTACTTTGAAGCTACCAGAGAAAAAAACCTTCAGCGTACTGCTGAGAGGTTTTACAGCATTGCTGTCAGTACATGTATGACAAGGATTTTTGCAAACCTTTGGAATTGCAATTGTAAAGGAATTGTAGCTTCTATCTCTACCTGCAAATGTGCCCTGTTTTGCTTGGACCACGAACAACTTGGTTTTGATACTTAGCCTCCCCTCTGTCCACCTGTATGCAGAAGCACTGAAGTAACATCCTTGCTAGCCATCTGGCACAAGCTGTGTCTGATGTGGCTTACAATTGGCAGAACATGTCTGTATTTTTTTGCTGAAATTTTTGTTGTTGTTGTTTTGTTTTGTTATTTCAAGTCCCTGGTCTTGGAGAAGCAGATCTCTAAATAGTTTAGCTCTTTCATTAGCCAGCAGCACCACTCCATGCTGTGCATCAACAAGGCTGGAGAACAAGACTGTCTTTAAACGAAGAAGCCCTGCCTTTTCCTCCCTGCATTCATACAAGTTAAACACGACTTCTTGTTTCTGTCATTCATCCTATTAAGCAAAGTCCAGACTGCCAAGTGAAACCTCGTTTGCCAATTTCCAGGGATGGCAAGCATGTATAGCTGAATCATAAACCCTGAAGGAAGGGCCTTATCTGATGTGGTACACCAGGCCTAATGGGGCTGGTCTATGCAGCTGCATCACCTTGGGTAAGAACTTCATCAGAGCCTCTTATAAATAGCATGCCTGATGTTACATGCATTGTGCCGAAGGACACAGGTGTTTATATTTACAGACCTAGTACTTAACTCCTTTAAGTGATTCTTTGGTGGTAGGATCTAATTGAGCAATACTCTAAACTTGTTTAATTCAGTTTGAAATTCCAGCTCTGCAGGAGGATTTTGGATCAAATGCGGTTTGACTAGTTATCGTCAGCCTTCCCTGTAGGATGGGGATGCATTGTGTTGATGATCTAAGAGTAAGAGTGCAAGTGAAGAAAGGCTGTCTTCACTTGTAGCCATTACTACTGAACATGTTGTTCTGATGTTTTACTCACAAAGCCCTAAGTGTCCTTATAAATGTAAAATTTCCTTCTTTTTCCTCGAGCAGATGGAAGACTTAGATGGAAATGAATAAAAACATAATTTGCCAGAGCCCTCAATTAATCATAATCAAGTTTGTGCATGTTATGCTCTACAAGGGTAGCAACAATGAAACACAGGGAGAAAAGGATGCTTTCCTCAGGCAATTCTGAAGACATAAAAGCAATAAAGGAGCATACTTCAAAATAATGTGGAGATATATGACTGCACTAAATAAAAATGCTTCTTTAACGTACTGTAAAAATAAAGATGTTTAGTTAGATTTATCATTCTTGTTATAAATGCAAATTCATCCCCTGGACTGCACCATTGGTTCTGAAATCACCCAAGGGATGGTTAAGGCCCACTATTTTCTGTAATTACTCTAACGTTGTTTAATTTGTTAAAAAGCTAACTAGATTGTTCATTCTTTTTACTCCAAGGTAGTGTATGCTACACCTTGTTCCTGCTTATACAGACATTTTACTTAAGAGCTACATTTGGGCCATTTTTTATTTGATATAGTGAGAAGAACTTGGACTAAGTTCTTTACAAGGAGAGTGGTTAGGCCCTGGAACGGGCTGCCCAGGGAGGTTGTGGATGCCCCGTCCTTGGACGTGTTCAAGGCCAAGCTGGACGGGGTCCTGGGCAACCTGATCTGAATGTGTGTGTTTGGTGGCCCTGCTAGGCAGGGGGGTTGGAACTACATGATCCTTGAGGTCCCTTCCAACCCGGGTGATTCTGTGATTCTGTGATTCTGTGATTCTGTGATTCTGTGATTCTGCGACTTGTACAAGGCCTTTGACATGGTCCTGCACCACATTCTTATCTATAAATTGGAGAAATATGGATTTGAAGGCTGGACTATCCATTGGATAAAGAGTTAGTTGGATGGTTGTAGCCAGAGGGTTGTGGTCAGTGGCTCTGTGTCCAAGGGGAGGCCGGTGACAAGTGTCTATCAGGGTTCCATCTTGTGGACTGGTGTTTAACATCTTTGTCAATGACCTAAACAGTGGGACTGGGTATACCTTCAGCAGGTTTGCTGATGACACCAACCTGAGTGGTACTGGTGACATAGAGGGTGGTGAGGTACTGGGAACAGGTTGTCCACAGAAGGTGTGGATTCCCCATCCCTGGGGACGTTCAGAACCAGGTTGGATGGGAACCCTGAGGTCCCTTCCAACCTAAGACCTTCTATGAATCTATAATATGTGTCTAAGAATGGTTTGCTCATTAGTTTGCATGAATTGCCTTCAAACCTGTGAAAATGCATTTTTAAATTAGCTTTGCATAGAGCAATACATGTTAACTGAATGCAACCCCACTCCCCAAGTTCTCCCCTGTTTGACTTTGGAACATTCAAAACCAGTGACATTCATTTCTGCAGCCTCATTCAACCATTGCAATGAGCAAATGAAACAATTGTTTTATTTGTAAGAGGAGATTATCCCTTGAAGGCAGATAGAAGGATACTGCCTACAGAACCCTATTTGCAGGCACAAAGAGCGCTTAGTCAATTTTTGGCAGTAATACTGAGCCTATTAGTTTTGGATATGAGTTCGCTGATGTTCAGTGCTGTAGATTTCCAGTTAGTTCATGAAGCGCCTTTAAAATTACACACAGAGCTTCATTAATCGCCTCAGAAAAGAAGCAACAAATATCAGGCCCTCAAAGTGTCTGTGCACAGAATGGCCATTGATTTCAGTGAATATTCCTCAGTGGAAGACTGGTCCTACCTCCTGGGAAGGCAATTACAGCTTTCCCGTTAGTTACAGCAATATGAGAGCTTTTGCAGGATCAGGTCCTATTAGCTGCTGTCTTTCTGTCTGTCTGCTTATCTGTTATTAGATATTATTAGATATCTATTATTAGATATTATTAGATGCATTATCTAAATATGTGTTTTATGTACATAATCTGTAACTCAATTTGTTAAAAGTGTAAATCAAAATGGAGACCATCACAAGATAGCAACGATGGGATCTTAAAAAAGAACAAAATCCAAACATAGCTTTGGGGTCCTGAAGTTGGTTGTTTTGGGTTTTTTTTGGTCCTTTCTCCTTCTATCAGAGGACTGTTTGAATATTTGTTCTACACCAAACTATCCGTAAGAGAATTTCCTGTGCCTTCCTTGCAAACTGCACAACCCCATGTGATCCTTGATCACAACAAATTGATTTATTTAAATAAAAGTAATGATCTTCTTTCCTTTAGCCAAGCCCAAAGGCAAAATCCCATGTAACCCTGATCAGCAAATTGATATACTTATCTTCTTTTGCCCTCCTTTCTCAAACCCAAACAATACCACCCTGATCCCCAAGTAATAAGAAAATGATTTATGCAAACAAAAATAATTATCTTTCTTTGCTCTCCCCCCTCCAACTGTATAATCTCAGCAGCTCCTTGTTTAACAAATTGATTTATTTAAATTAAACAAATGGTGACCTTCTTTTGACCTCTGTGGAGCACCTCGGTGGCAAACTCCTATCCTTATCACTACCTTGCCCATACACTTAGAGGGACATATTTTGAAATATAGCAGCATTCCTAACTAACCTTGATACTTTGTGGTATGCTTAATCAAAGTCCATAGAAGCTCTGCTCCTGTGCCATGAAAATAGGTTGTATCTCCTCTGAAAAATAATAAATGTGAATGGGATGTACCTTCCTGTGTATTATTGTAGGGCAAGGAAAGTTACTCATCCAGTTCCATATGAGGAACTTGACAGAGGGTGACTCTATGCAGTGTGTCTGCACACATTTCTCCCACTTAGCTACCCATAAGTGCCTGTCCAGATAGAGCTTTTAAACCACTGGCAAACTCAGTGCTCAAATACGTGCAATGCTGCCTCACCTAAAACTGACAGAGCCATCTAGTGCCAGCCAGATGGTGACAAACATCAGCAGCAGCTGACAGATGAGATCATAAATTCAAAGGATTTCATCCATTAGGTTTTAAGGATCTGTCAAACCACAAGTTGTATTGTAAGGAAGCACAACTTTTCTGGGGAGAAAGAGAGGCAGAGTCTTGCTTTAGAACTGTTAACTCAGTCTTTTTGGGAAAAAACACTCAATGTGTCCACATTTGGAAAACATTCTATGGAAGGTGCATAAGTACACAAACATGTTTATGCATTTGTGTACTTTCACTGTGATAGTTTTATTTAAGATTGTGTTTTCTGTGCTGTCCACCAGTATCTCTGTTTTGTGTAGCTGCTACTTAAATAGCCATTTTGGCATTACACAGAATTACATAATCACATGTGCTATATGCAAAAGTGCAAATAGTCCCACTTAGCACCTAATCATGTGATATCTGTTGTGAAATGATGGTGAAAGAGCCAATAGATATGACTGTTACTTTGCTATTAGCTGTGATTCTTCAGAGGCGAGTGCAGCCTGCAGCTGGAATTTAGCATAGATGGAAGAGGGATTAAGTGATAGTGGGAGCCTGAGTGTGTTGTGTATAGAAACATTCTTCCCTCAACCCGTTTCTGTGGTGTATATACTCTGAGTAGGACACTGCTGTTAACCAGTCTTCCAGATTTTGTAATATTCTGGGATTTTTTTGCAGTTCATTCATACTAGGTGTCTGCTTTGGTTTCAGACTCACTTGTGTCCTCCGCCAGAAGACAGTGACATGACACAAATGGTAGCACAGAGCTCTTACTGCTCCATTCAATAAGTGATCCTCCACGGACAGACTGTGACTCCCCAAAGGTTGCAGGGAGAGGTAAGAATGATCATAAAGCATCAAAAGTGTTTCATTCCAAAGCCAGCAGGTTTTCACTCTCTCTAATCCTTCACCTTCAAGGTTTGGCACTCTTTGTGATCCTCTTAAAATATATGGGAGAACCAATAAGAATGATTAATGTCATTGTGAAATCATTTCCTTTTTTTTTTTTTTTTTTTTTCCCCAGTAATTTTTAGTCAGTTTTATAATGTTGGGCACTGAGTTGGGAATCACTGTGTCAAAAGCTTGGTCATGTCATGTGAACTCTTCATAGGGAATTCAACTGAAATGGAAGAACCTTGCAAAAACTGAACAAGAATTTGCAAAGCAGGATTACAGGCACTTTTGAAGCTTTTCAAATCTTACAGAAGCTTGTCTCCTTCTAGTTTGAATATATTTTTTTGTTCTCCTGAAAGTCAAATAATTGAGGTTTTTGCATCTGATCCTTTGAATATATGGTCTCAGAATATCCTTGTGTATCTGCTTCAAAAAATTCAATTTCATAGAGCTTTAGGCTCTGATCCTCATCACGCATTACCTTTACCCCGACTGCAGGAATAGAACTGATAACGAAACTTAGACTTTGGTGCTTTGCAAAAATGTTACCATGGGAAAAAAAATATTAAAATTCTGAAAGATTGTGGCAGCCTTTTAAAAAATTTGGCCCTCTCTGTCATCTTGCCAGAGAGGTAAGTATTTCTCCTGCAGACAGGTTGGAGTTAGTGGGACATGAAATAATGTCAATGGTAATGGTAAGAGGATTAAACTGCAGTTCTGCTGTTATTGAACAGTTTGCAGAGACCATATTAAACAGCCACATGAGTCCGCAGGGCAGCCCTGCAGTTCCACTAAGCAAACACAGATGCAGAGTTCCCTTTCATGGTCATCATTTCATGCCTTTGACATCCCTACACTGTCGGGACTCAGTGGTGTATTTACAGCCTGAACATTAAAGATTCTTTTTTTTTGAATCCTGAGTGGATACCAACAATTAAATCAGTAGTAACAAGAAAAAGGGGGGACACTTGGATGGACTTCAGTGCAATACAAACAAATAAGGGAAAAATTAAGCTGCTAGAACATTCCCTGATGGGGAACTTTGGGGACTTCTTCAGTTGCTGACAAAAATTCTCTTTCAGAATCTAGTTGGTTTTAAATCTCTTTTCTTTGGGGCTGATATCTGCATTTTGCCAAAGCTGATCCTGAAGTTGCAGTGGTTGAATTTCACAAGGCTAGTGCAGTTCAGCTCATGTCAACACTGCCAGGCCTTTGTGCTTGTTCAAAGCTTGTGTGAGTCCACTGGGACTACAGATTGGCCAGAAGAGATTGAGGGAGCAGTCTGTCTTAAAATATATTCCTTTCCTTTTCCATTTCAACAGAAACTTTGACAGTTCTTTAACATTTTCCTTAGTTTTTTTGTTTGTCAGAAATGAACCAAATAAACAAAGCAATTATGTGATGTGTGTATATATATATATATATTTATAAACGCATACATTTGTGTAGGAAGGACAGAATATGGCAGATTTTTGTTTTGTCTGAATGGTTTTACATGGCTTAGTCCTGCAGTTTTCAAGTAATGATAGGAATACAGCTAAGCTGAGTGTCAGGGTAGTCCTACAGAATGTAAAGATTATTGACAAAGAGTTCTTATAGAAAGGAGAAAATAAATCAGCTGATGAATTACGGAGCCTTTGGTCAATAATTGTTTAATATGACACAAATTTTAAGTGAAATTTACAGCATACAAGCACTCCACAGGTAGCCACTTCTTCCTATGGCATGAAATAAACATGCAACCAGAGAGTGTAGCAGTGAATTACATTCAACCTCAGAAATGCTTTAGTATGTCTTCAAGAGCTGCTGCCTGCTTCAGTGATGGATTATAACTTAGCATGGGATCCCACAGGCATGGTAAGGTATTTATGTAGTCTTATGATTGCTCAGACACTTGGAACAAATGTATAGCTGGTGCTGACAGAAATCAGAGTATTGCTATCTCCCACTTTATTTCATTTATTTGTATTTAGCAAGTGCTGGAATGCAGCAAGCCACCAAGCACAACTGCAGCTGGAATATGGTTTCCAGAGCTTATTTACAGTAGCTCTTATTCACAACGGGTAGTGGTATATCACTCCATATGTATTTCCATTGATGTCAGGGGGTCCATTAGCAGAAAGAGGTGCCATTCTGTGTAGCTGAGTTTCAGTTTGGTCCCATGTTTGAAAAGCTTGTGTATTGTTCTGTTTGTAAATGTGTTTACAGTTTGAAAAAAGCCCTATGCCTGATCCTCACCAAAAGGCTAACAACACTGCGAAATGTTGATGAAGTTGGTAGGGTGCAGGTTTTGCAGTATTTCATTGCTTTGCAGGAAACAATTCTTCATGCTTTTTATTTAGTATTGGACAGATCTGTTTTCCACGTGCTATTTTGAGCTCCGTGCTTAAACTGATCCAAAATTCAAAGAGAAAAGAAAAAGCTGAGATTCACTTTAGCAGCAAACAATGTCAGGTGATGTTGATTTAAAGAAAACATTAATCAATCCAGATTTGCCTGGAACTGGGCCCAGGTTCACTCAACAGGTTGGTGAACCTTAGCAAATCTTCCAGTGAATCTGTTCTGTGTTTTGATTTTGTAACACGATCTGAAATCATCTGAGTTTCATGAGGTTTTGTTGTGCACATTTTGGAACACTGGTGGGGGAGTGAATCTAGGGAAACACAGAGATGCTACATTTTGCATGATGTGACAAGGTAAACTGTATTTCACTCTTCCTGACACTCCTTGATACCAAGTTGAAGAACGGTGTTGATGCTGTCAGCTTAGTGTTAAAAGAGGAGACCATCACTATCTGTCAGTATTCCTGTGTCTACAGTGGTCTTAGATTCAGAGCCAAAATAAAGTCTTCAAATTGTACTCTACATGACAGTATAGTTAGTTGTGTACTGTTATTTTTTCCCCTTGTTTGGGGTAAATGCCAGAATTTTTCCTGCATAGACAGATTCTGGAGTTGTGAGGAAGGTGTTAGGTCTTTTGATGTATGCTGGTTTGAAAAAGTTATGTAGTGCTAAAAAAGATTAGGATTTTATTGCAAGCCTGTGGATAAACAACTTATGCTTTAACTCTGTTCTGAATTCATAAATTGGTGTACCTGGCCTTCACAGCTGAGTATGAAATATTTAAGGTCCATCTACACCCATCAGGTCAAATATATGATAAGGTGACATTTTCTATTAATTTTATTTCTACTCTGAGCTAGAGCCCAGAGCAATAGAGATGTGAGACACTCAACACATGAAACAAAACCTGGCTCTTCAGTGCCTGCCAATTTTTTCATTCTGATTTAGAGTGAGCACCAGAATCATTTTGCTGGAGCTGGGATTTTAGAGAGAAGGGCTGATAGAAGAAGCTATGAACTTTTTGGCACTGATTTGTTGCCTCATACTTGAGATAGACCTGTAGGTCAGTTTTATGAGAGATGGCCTAAAGAAAGGAGGAGGACAGTGCATGGAGGGTGGGTCAGTGAGTGTAGCCTACTGTCCTAGCATGTATACAAGGTCAAACTGGCTAATTTAATGGTCTTTTCTGAACTGAGAAATCTCTTAAGAGGGAAAAATCAAAGTCTGCAAAGGTAATAATTAAGAAAAAACATAACAGGCTGCAGTGTCCTCCAATGCCCCTGTGGTTCTTCCCCTCCTAACCAACACACGGGCAGTGATTCAGCCACAGATTGACTTGTTCTGTCAGTCAACTTAGAAGTACAGCAGGAAGGAAAAACAGTTTGCCAATAATATTCAAGCTGAAGCTGACATCTTTATTTTCCTCTAAAAGAGTTGCGTTTGCACCCGCTTGTATCACTGCATTTTTCCACTAAGGTTGTCTCACTTATTTAACTTGACACACAGAGCACCCCTCAGAGGTCTTTGAGATTCAAACCAGCATTGGAAGTGACAGCCCAGATAACGTGAGTAATCAAGTTGGACCTTGTGGGACTGCACTGACTACTTTTTAATTGATAATTCCAGGTTCCTATAATAAATTTATTTCTTAATTATATTCACCGTGTCATACATGGTAGCTAATGATTACCACTAGTTTAAGTTTGCAGCCTTAGAAGACGTGTTCCCCTCCCCCAGTATTTAATCACAATTTTCCTTCTAAATTAAGATTTTCTGACAAAGAAAACAGACCAAAGCTGCACATTAAATCCAATTCCTCCCAAATAAATGAAGGTAAATTTTAGGTACTAAATTAGATAAGTGATTTTAATTAGCTAATCATTTCATGAAGATCATAAAGCATTTAAATAACACTGAAGTTATGTATATTTAAGCAGTTTTATGGAGAATTAAAGTCTTAAGTGGTAAATTTAAAATGTAAATACAAAAGTGAATGTTGGAATGTTAATTGCTTTTCCTGAGTTTCTCACATGGCCTGAGATGTTACAGGAGGAATCAAGAATTACAATCATAGTAATAATGTGGCCAATCTAAAGCTTATTAAAGTCCTTGGATTCTTTCCATGAAGTTTAGCAGCCATTGCCCCAAAACAACAAATGCCTTTACATGTCTGACTTACAGCACTGTTAAAGTTTCTTGTGTATTATAACTGTACACGTGATGTCAATATTCTTAAATAACCACACATTTCTAGTGTAAGCTTCCTTTTAGAAGCCAAGAAATTTTAGTTGACCTGAAGAACTTACCTGATACTCTTTGAAAAATACATCTTGGCAGTAACAGCCATTTACACCATCAGATCAGTTCACATCAGAAGAAAAATTTACCTACTAGGAGAAGCTGATGCATTCAGTCAACAAAGCTCAGCAACAGACCGGGTCATTATTAGTATGAATTCTCACGTGCCTGTCCTTAACTCAGTGAAGCTTTATGTTGGTTTTGATTCAATATATAGTTAAAAATAGTTAAAATTGAAACTTAATTTTACAGTTTTGTTGCTCATAATGTTGGAAACTAATAGGTTAAAATCAGGAAAGTAAG